GGAAAAGAACAACTTTTTTCCCCTTTGTGAATTCCAAGGTAAACTCCCCATCAAGTACAATGTGAAGAAATGCCAGTCATTAATTTGCTTCTGCTATCACACTACCTATTATCATGTACAATGGATGAAAGAGACTGTCAGGAGCACCAGGCACCATTTCCTTTTGTTGTTGCTTGAATTGAAGAGGCATGACCAAAAAGTGAGAAATGTTTAATATACTAGAAAAAAGTAAAATCCCACCAACACGAGCCTCTGTAGAGGAAGCAGTTGAGTAAATATGTTGAATAAATAAATAGAACAGAAAGTGCTGGAGAAACTTGGCAGTTGTGGAGAGAGGAATCAAGTTAACATTTCGAGTTGAATGTGGTGGTTTTTCTGAACTTTCATGAGTCATTGTATTTGTTTTAATATCAGCAGTAACTCCTACTCTCTCTGAAGTTGCTGCCTGATCTATTGAGTGTTTGTCACCTTTTCTGGTTAGTTTACCTGAAAGACGATTTACAGTATTGCATTTGAGGAAAACCGTACTTCAAAAGCAAATTATACAGGTGATGCAAATGTGAACAGAAATCAGAAATTGGAGCTAATACCTGGCAAGTTATACAGTCCCTGTTTCATATTGACCTTTTATTACAACTAGAACATGTTAAAAACATGGAAAACCTTTTAAGCAAATCTGGGGAGAGGTGAAAATCAAAACAAAAAATCTATAGAAGCTGAGAGAGATTAGATCACAAAAGAGAAAACGTATACACAAAAAGTGGTAGTAATAAGTCAAATAAAAAAAATCTGGAGGCGGTGTAAATGGCATTAACAGGATCATTAACAGCAGCTATCTCTGAAAAAATGGCGAAAAGAATATAATTTGAAATTGTCCAACTCAACATTGTGTCAAGAAGGCACTTACATGGCTGCTGTGTGCCTTGCATGTGCTGTGCCCTTTCACTTGCCTAACTTTTACTGTTTTTTGACTTTTCTTTCCCCTTTGAACCCAGCTGTTCACAACGTATATCAGTAGTTTGGATATGGGAATCATATAATGTTTCCAAATTTGCAGAAGGTGCAAAGCTAAGTGGGAATGTGTGTATTGGGAAGGAGATGATTACTTGTCCTTTCAATGCTTCAGAATGTGATTTTACATGTCTAAGATTTTAGAGTAGATTTGTAGCTTGGGTTGTGGTTGGTTGGCTCGCTGAGCTGATTCGTTGTTCTGCAGATGTTTCATTATCCTGCTGGTCAACATCATCAGTGCAGCCTCCAATGAAGCGCTGTTGCGTTTTCCCACCTGGTTTTTAAACTCTGGAGTCTGTTGTGCTAGATTATCTCACTTCCGGTTTTCCTTCGCAATGGAGTGTATATGGGGTTGAGTTCTATGTGTTTGTTGATGGCTTTCTTCCTGGAGTACCAAGCTTCTAGGAACTCCCGTGCCTGTCTCTGCTTTGCTTGTCCCAGGATCTTAGTGTTGTCCCAATCGAATTGGTGGTTCTCCTTATCCATGTGGATAGAGAGGAGTGAGTGTTAGTCGTGTCTTTTTGTAGCCAATTGGTGCTCGTTGGTCGTGTCTTTTTGTAGCCAATTGGTGAGACACGACCAATACTCACTCATCTCTATCCACACTGCACAGAACATAAGGCAAGTGTGATCAAGGTGCGGATTTCTCAGCAATCCCATTCCCCACCTCCCATATTAATAGTAATGTGGATCTGTAAATTTCATTAAAACTTCATGAGGCATTCCATTTCTTCAGTTTTAACAATCTATCCTTGAGATTCTCAGAAGCAGCTCAGTCATGGACAGCCTCAACAACTGCTCAAATTCTGCTGGTTCACCATTGTTTCCTGGGACTACACTGTCCTGGATCTTGGAAACTACTGACCACTTACTCTCAGGCAGAAGTCCAGTTTTTAATAAACAGTGAACTTCAGCCAGTACAGTGCTTTTGTTTGTTTCCTGAGCTGTAATCAGTTGCACAAAGCAATTATGTTTATGGTTTGCTTCATCATCATTCTCACGTGTACTGAACTATTCATTTTGTAATAAACACTGAAAGAACTGTGATTGCTGTAAATCAGGACCAAAAACAGAAGTTGCTGAAAAAGCTCAGCAAGTCTGGCAGCATCTGCAAAGAAAAAAATCAGAGTTAACGTTTCGGTCCAGTGACCCTTCTTCAGAAAGTTCTGAGGAAGGGTCACCAGACCCAAAATGTTAACACTGACTTTTTTCTTCACAGATGCTGCCAAATCTGCTGAGCTTTTCCAGTAACTTCTGTTTTTATTCATTATGTAATGCTTTCCTTGAGCCCTCTCAGGATTTTTTTCAGAGCCCTGTGTGTAACACATAGTTGCCTACTGGCTTTTGGAACTTACAAAGAGCTCTAATTACACAGAGCCACCCAACTGTTCTTGACTTTTCACTGAGTCGCAACTACACAGACACATTGTAGTTTGGTTGCCTTTTCAGCAGAACAGCTTTACCATTCTTGTTTGTATGGAGCTTGCTTCTGATTCTGTCTTCTCCAACTGACTATGACCTGGAACTGTTCTTCACTGAACCCTGAAATGTTTTAAGTGACCATTTGAAAACATTGAAATAAGCATCATTCTTGTTCCTGGGCAGTATTAAATGTAATTAATATTTTGGAGCATTCAAATGTAACAATCAGCAATGGGACTTGAATATAACACCCCTTGGGACTGTCTGTTGCCTGAATTTTACAATATTCACTGAGAATTGGCTCCTACAACACAAATTGATACAACAAAAATGGAATTCATCATGCTACGAACTAAATTTCTTGGTTTAAGTGAACGCACAACTTGAGAAAAAAAAAACTTAATAATACTCATCAACCAATCATTAGCCTTTTGTCCTGTGATATCATTCCTTTATTTCTTTTACATCAAATATCTGCCACTCCTGCTCACATTCTATCTGTAATCTTCTCTTCTCTACTTACCCTGTTACTTTTATGCTCTTTTCATAAATGTCCTTAACCCATAGTTAGGGAACATGATTATAATGTTTGTAGATCACATAAAACTCGGTAATTTAGTAGATAGTGTGCAGGATGGCTGTAGGCTTCAGGATGCCAGAGAGGATAATGTATTAGGGAGAAATATGGCAAATGGCACTCAAAGTATAGAATAGTGAAGTAGTGTACTTTGAAAGGAATAATCAGAAAAAGCATCTTACTATAAATAGCGCAAAATTGAAAAATATAGGTGAGCAGAGAAATCTTGTTGGCCATATGCGCCAAGTTTTACAGGGCAAGCTGAAAGATGGCACTTGACTTACTTAAGTTTATAATTTGTGGAATAGGGTGTAGAAGCAGTGTGATGATGCTAGAACTTCACAAATCACTGGTTAGGCCTCAGCTGGTGTATTGTGAAACCACTTGCAGTCACAGTTCAGGTAAGATGTTGCCATTTCAGAAAGAGTATGTGGGAGGTTCATTCAGGTATTACTAGGAGTGAAGGTCATGAGGGGAGGTTGGGAAAGTTAGGATTTGTTTTTAGATTAAAGTTTCAGAAATGATCAAGTGGAGGATTGCAACCTGCTAAGAGGTTTGGGAAAAGAAGATGAAACAAAGTTATTTCCTCTAGCGAGTGGATCAGTAACCTGGAGATGCATTCAAAATTATTGGAAAAATATGTAGAGAAAAGGCAAGATGAAATTATTTCATTTGGAACTTGGTTGGGCTCTGGAATACTTTACCTAAAAAGGGGGTGAAATTTGATCCCGTACATGGATTTAAAGGCAAGTTGAACAGTTATTTTAGCTGAATAAAATGTAGGGATATAGGATTTAGGAAAACACCTTTTTCAAAGAGTCATCTAGACTCGAAACATTAGCTTTCTGTCTCTCCATGGATGCTGTCTGACCTGCTGTAATCTCCAGCATATGTTGTTTTCAGTACAGATTCCAACATCTGCAGTAATTTGCTCCTCTTTCAAAGAACCAGCACAGGCATATAGGTGGATTGACTCAGTCTCTCTGTGATGTAATTATGTATGATTCTATTATTGAATCGTGACATGGTATTTGAAGAGTTACTGGTTTGGGGCTAATGGTTATATTTGTTGGGAGCACCCAAGGGTCAAGAATCTTCTGGAATTCTGTGCCCCAGAGACTTGCGGACCCTCCAATTTTAAAAATATTTTAAACTGAGTTAGGCCTTCTTTGTCTCTCAGAGAATTGAAGGATTAGGGGAGGTACTGAGAAAGTGGAGTTGAAGTTGAAAATCAGCTCTGATTGTATTGAATGATGGAGCAGGCCGTGTGGTCTACTGTGTCTCTTAGTTCTTACCTTCTTAACATGATAATGGTATGATCGAAAAGCAAGAAGTTTTCATTTGTCTCTCTTCCAAACTTGTGCCTTGTTGTCGTGGAAGGATGTGGTTGTAAGGCACAGAAACTGGAAATAGTGACCCTGCTGGATCACTGTATGTAGGGCAATAATGGCCTGCAGGCAAGGTTAATGGCCACTATTGTAGGATGTTGGAAAAAACAAACAAAAAAACAAACGTATTCATAAATCACTCTGTCATATCTTTACCACATTTTTTCAGTTAAAAGCAATTGATTTGGGAATGCTTTTACTGAACTAATACCTATTAAAGAATAAATAATGAAGTTTGGCAAGTTGGTGCTAGATTAAACTTTGCTCTGAGTGGTACATGACTCCATGGAGCCGTACCTGTTAATAGTTCAACTTATTGAATCTAATTAAGCGTTATAATTGCTACACATGAGCATTTTTTAACACTTATATGATTGGACTCTCATTTATAAGTGGCATATGGAAATATAGACTGGTCTTGCAATTTATGGACTCGTAGATCCAGTTACTATGACTTTGACTTGATAATGATGAAAAATATTGCTGCATCTTTGTTCTAGTTGCTTTTATTATACCTAATTTTATGTCTGCATTAAAATTACTTGGCAGCATCCTAGGATCCAAAAAGGGCAAAATTGATCCGTCCATTCTTTTGTTTTCAGGTATGCAGTACCTCCTGAACAAGGGAAGAGGCTGGAACGTCTTGCACAAGGTACTTAATTTGATATGTTGTGTACATCAAATTTCCAGCAGTAATGTATGACTTTCATCTTAGTTGAACTAGTGTGGCTTTGGCTCTTTATTGACATGAGGCTATAAGGATTAGTAGAGGCAGGTGTAGATGGGAGCGTTGGAATTTTTGATGATTTTGATCATTGTAATCAATGCAAATCTCATGCATTAAAGCACTAATTATAATTAGATGGGATTTTATGACAAGCTTGTAAATTTGTTTGAATTTGCATCATAGAAATAAGATGAACTTGGTTTTGTAAAATATATTATCCAGGGAAAAAAGACGTGTGGTAATCAGTGACACTTTAATGTTGCTTTTTGCTTGCTACAGAAGAGTGGACATCAGTGATCTGTGACCTGTGTGTCCTTCATTTCCCATTCTTAGTTAACAATATGCTTTCTTGGCCTATTTCGATGCCTGAAAATTTGGATGAATTTATAATGGTTCCAGGATTAGCGTATGGCACTACGCTACGGCAGAAAATCTATCAAAGAATATCTTTATGTTTGCTAGCCTAACATTTAAGAGGAGCATTCAAATTCTGAATAGTTGAAAGTGGACAATTGATATGTTGGTTGTTAAATAAATATGGCTTTATTCGGAATCTGCAGTTTTTGTGTAAAATAAAAAAAAGTTGGAACTTTATAAAACTGAAAATCAGAAATTGCATGTTTATTGGGAGAACTGCTGGTTGTTGGAATTATAATCAAATCTAAATTCTCTTGAGAACTGAATTTTCACTTCCCACTCCAATTTAAAGTCTGAATTTTAGCTGATTGGAACAAGGAAGATAAAATTCAAAGCACTTTTCAAAATCTCAAGGTATTGTAATGCGCTGTGCAGCCAATTAAGTACGTTATGAAGTGTGGTGCGATTGTATTGTAGGAAACACAACAGTCAGTTAGCAATGAAGTATTGGTCAGATATTTTACGTCATGTTTTGATTGAGGAATGAATATTAGCCCGGATACCAGGAGAATTGCATTTGAATTTTGTCAAAGTAATTGCAATTGGATCATATTCCTCTACATCGGAGGGTAGATGGATTTTCTGTTTAATTTCTTATCAGAACAATGGCACTTCTGACAGTCAAGAACTCCCTCAATGACACAAGAGTACAGTTTAGATTATGTGCTCAAATCTTTGACCAGAACTTGAAATTACTACTTTCTGGCTCTTGCGACAGTGTCAACTCTGAAGCACAACTAAGACATGTATGGGGCGGTGTTGCATGAATAATTGGCAGTCTTTTAACTCGCTTCTGCTTCATTCAGTGGTCACATAAGGAGTTTTTCTTATCGATGCTGACTGGAGGCTCGAGCGGAACGGAACGGTCAGTGGACCTGGAACAGGGACGGTTGTTGGACTGGGGACCGGTGTGGGCGGTCAGCAGCTTGCGAGCCCAGCTAGGTGATGTGTGGAAGCCCCCTGTGCTAATCTACTGCAGGCCCTTGATAAAAAGACTGCAATGCTTATCTTTTTAACTTTATTTCTTATTTTTCCAACTTATACTATGAGTAACTGTAAGGTAATGTCACTTTTTCATTTATTTCTCTATTTTGTATCGAAGATTTGTACCTCGATTTGTTGCACCTAAGATGGTGCCATGAGGGGCGACATTGCAAACTTTTCACTGTACTTGTGTACCTCTGTGCTTGAGTACATGTGACAATAAAGCAAATTCTAAATTCAATGTGATTGTCCACCGTCAGAAGTATGTTACCATGATTTCAAATCATTCCCCAAGTCGTGAGCTTATTTTAAAATTTCGTTACAGCCAGCAGTGTATTCTCCTTCCCTGAATGGGTTATGAATAAATTTGAAGTTTCACATTCCTATCACTTACACATTGTTATTAAAAAGTAGCTTCCAAAAGCCTTAAATAAAATCAGCTTGCAAGTGTGCATATACGTATGCAGGAAAGCTATATTTTCCACTGAGTCAGAAGACCATGAGTTCAAACTGCATTCTAGAGATTGTCGTGCCTCATCAATGTTAAAAATAACAGAAAATACTGGAGAGACTAAGCAGGTTTGGCAAAATCTGCAGAGAGAGAAATGAAGTTAATGTTTTGCATCCGATGTGACTGTTCAGACCTGAAAAGGGCTGGAAGATTATGGTTTTTCTGTTGTTGACAAAGGAGGAGGAGAGAATGGAAAAGACAGTGAGGGCATCCAGACAAAAACCAAAGGTAATGATGATGGTGGTGGTAGAGGTGAGATAAGGTTGCAAAATAGGTGCTAATGGTAGGGATGAACAGTTGAAAATTGGTTTTAAAACCCTATTGAAAGATGGCACCTCCAACAGTGCAGCACCCAGGTTGCATTGCATAAATTTGTTATAGCTTATTGAAACAAGAAATATAGACTTCAAAACACTTTCAAGACCTCAAAGTATTGTAATGTGCTGTGCAGCCGACTAAGTGTGTTGTGAATTGTGGTCATGATTGTATTGTAGGAAACACAACAGTTAGTTAGCAATGAAGTATTGATCAGATATTTTGTTTCATGTTTTGATTGAGGCAAGAATATTAGCCCGGATACCAGCAGAATTGCGCTTAAATTTGAACCAGGAGAATTGCGCTGGAGAGTCAGCCTTGATTTCTGCATTCAGGTATTGAAGTGGGACATGAATCCAGAACCTTGTGACTATGGCAACAGTGTGATTAACAGCCATTTTTTTGAACCATGGTTGACGTGTCATATTTTCAATGATTCTTTCGAAACACAATTTTAAGAAACGTTCCCTCAGTGCATTCGGGAAATACTTGGATATTTGACTCTTTCAGTAGAGGTACTATTTGAAATCCAGAGTTTCAAAAATGAGCAAAACCAGAGCAAAGAGTCTTCAATCAGATTTTGTTAAAAATAGTATAATTAAATATTGTTTGTCACATTCCCTATCTAAAGGCCTCATTTCTTTGTGATTGCAAGTATTACTTGGTATTTTTGGCTAGTTTATAAAATGAGATGGATTTACATATTGTTAGAAGACAGTCTGCTGAAGTTTTTTGTCTTGCACTCATCAGGATGTTTGCAAGAATACATTTATACTGCATGCAAGGAACATGCTTATTGGTTGGCAAGTGGATTATGATTTCTAGAGACATTGCTGTGGAGAATGTGCCCATTAACGCTGATTGACTGTTAACTTCTAGTACGTGTAAGTGCACCAACGGCCAATCCTAAATAGGATGTCTGTATAATTCTTTGGATACAAAGAATTATTCAGCAAATATTGTCCGCTTGCAGAATCACGTCTAATGATGGACACGGTGTTGTGAGCTTTACCAAGTGTGTGGGCTGTATATCTGAATGGCTGGTAAATCAAGCAATATATTCCTTAGGCTGTTCCTGACAAACCAGGGATTGTCTACACCTTGTTCTTGTAAAACTCTATACTACCAAATGACTATAACATGTATTATTACCAAATTCATTTAAACATTATTTATTATCTACAGGTTTCTTTCCAAATAGTTCCCAAGGATGTGATGCTTTCCTACGTCACAAGATGACCCTTATCTCTCCGTCCATACTCAAAAAGTATGGCATTCCTTTTGATAAGGTATTAAATATATTAATTTTTACAAAAGGCATACAAAATGATAATTTTTATGGGGTATTTCTACTTGCATATTATTGTAGTTATCCTATATGAAGTGTATTTATAATTAAAGTGCACTACCTTTTAAGATTTTGTCACTAGCATTAGCTAAAATTAGTTAAAGAATAATTTTATTAGATATATTAATGTGTTACTTAATATTATTGTTTATGTCCAAGTTGAGAGATTTTGGTAAAAGATGAAGTATTAAAAATTTTGGTTTCAAAGGTTGTTTTGACTGCGTTATCTTTCATTTGCTATATTTTGGAAGACTCCTGGAAGACATTACACAGTGTATTTCTCACATTTTAAATTATGTTTAAATTATAGTTTTGATTGCAAGTGTTGAACAGTGTAGCACTTCCTTTGCTTTCATGTTATATAATAAGGACATTTGTGTACTTTGCCAAGAAGGTGCAATTTGTAAATTATCCTATGTAAATAGAGGATAGCAAATTTAAAAACAGAACTAAAGTATTAACCTTTTTAAATCTACTGTTCTTCATTTGATGAGGTTAATGCATAGGAAATTCTGTAACTTTGTAGATGGACTTAAAATATTAGTTGTTTTGGTGGAGGTGCTGTTGACAATATTTTTGTGTTTGAAAGGCAACTTCAAAATGTTTTAATCTCAGAATGGAGAAGAACTCATGACATGGAGCAATGTAGACTTATGATGGGTTTTCAACTCTCAAACTTTGAGGGAGATTTCAGAGAGCGAGAGAGCAAGACTGTTGTCCCTGTGACAGTTTCTCTTTGGTCGTTAGTTTTAAAATTCCAGTAGCTTTATTACACCCACAAAGTAGGTCAGCTATCCTCTCTCTTGGAAAGCTTCATTGCCTTGATGTCTTCATTGAAGCTGCTTGTGTTTCTTTCATTTGCAGCTGTGGCCTTTGTCCTTTACTTTGAGAAGTGTTCTTTCCAAAAGATTCACATAGTCAGCCGATAAGGCCATATATTAATAAAACAGCACTTTTAGACAAAGGCGTCATAAATTAGTGGTTCAGGTAAAACATCTTCATAGCATTAATGTTTTAATGTTGGAGATTTATTAAATAATTTATTTTGTCTTTTCAATTTATACTCAAACCTGGTAGGGAAAGAATATCACATGAACTGGGAATAATATGCCCATTCGAATTACACCAGAAGTGTGTTGTGAACAACATGCCCACCTAAGTTTAGGATGGCTTGCATGTCAGATCATTGCACAGATAATGTTCACTGTCCTTCCTCTTGTGCCTCATTTTTACTGCACATTTTGGTATCTGTGAAATTGACAGATTTTATGTCGGTAGGAAGACCAACTAAAAAGGTCAATAACAGCAAGAGTTGTCTGCAATATTGCACTTAGTGAACTAATGATAGGGAAGAGTTGAATGCTTTATTCGCCAAAATCCCTGCTCAGTCGTCATAGAGCTGTACTTTCATATATTTTAATGATGTGAGGAGGTATTTCAGTTAACTTAAGTGACTGATTTTTCAATTTTGATTGGAAATATAAAGAAGATACAGAGATGTTTACCCACTTTCTGAAAGCTTCAAGGGACTAGAATTAAGAACTAAGTAGTCAAAGCCTTTTCACTGTAAGGGTAATGTTTGATTTGTGGAATTTGTTATTATAGAAGATAATTCAAGTGGACAATATAAATTGAGGTAAAGGACAATTATCTAGGTTTTTGGAAAGAGAAGGGTTTGAGGTACATATGGGAAGACAAGTAGAAGTTGTTGAATTCTGTTGATGAGACAGACTTGTTATATCCATGTGTCTTTGATAAAGCACTGCCTGATACATCATGTTATATTAGAAGTTTTGGTTATATTGCAATCATGTATTACAATCAAATTGAATAACTTATCCCAAGAGAAAATAAAACAGGAAATAGTGAAATACATTAAAATTTGATTAAAATATAATTTCAAATATTAAAAATGAACAATGGGTTCCCACTTGCATTTCTGAATAACAAGAAACTGAGATCAGCTGCGAGTTAACTGTAAGCTGTGGGTTCTCATTACACCGAAACAAATGTGATCAACTCTGATAAGCAATGTTGAGACAGAGTACTTGAGGACCTCGTTTTTAGAGGGTAGAATGTGAGAGGCCAGGCAGGTGTGCATTAGAATAATCAAATGTAAGCAACTGATGTTAATGAAACTCCTGATTGCTTGGTTTGTTTACTTCTACAATCTTCATGCTTTTCTCATTCAATGAAGAACATGACAACAGTAATGCTAATGTACTGCTGTTTAAATGATTCCTGTTGGTGGTTGATATAACTGAAAGCTAGAGAAACAGCATTCCCAAGTTTCTTGTTTGTTTAATGTATGCATAACAGCAACCATTGATAAAACAAATTTCAGTAATTTTCTCAGAAAAGGAAATTTATTGAAATTCACATTTTGTCTCTTTTATACAGTATAGCTGTCCATCCTCTTATTCTTTTATTTTGTAGCATGTATGTATTGTCAGTCAAAACTTTTGGTGTGACACAATCCTTAAAGAAATTCGCAAATTAGATAGATAGGTAGAAATTTATTACTAAATTATAATGCAATGTTGTGAATTCTGAAATTAAGTTGAATAGTCCTCCAACTCAAACTACTTTACTCTTTATTTCATGCAGATTACTCAAGAAGCAGGGCAGTTCATGATCACTTTTCCCTATGGGTACCATGCTGGCTTCAATCATGGGTTCAACTGTGCTGAGTCAACAAACTTTGCCACCATTCGATGGCTTGATTATGGAAAAATAGCTAAACAAGTAAGTTGCATTAAGGAATGCAAGTGAAAAAAATTAATTTAAACTTTTGTGTCCTTATGGAATATCTAAAGAAAAGTTGAGATCACAAAGTATTAACTACTCTGTGATAATCATATCTGCTGAATCACTGTGCTCACTGAAATAGGAAGATATATACACGAAGAACATTTGATGCTGATCTTTTAGGTCTGTTTTTCAACTTTGTGTTAGGTTGCTCTGTAAATTACAGACGTGCTTAGTAGTTCTTACTTTCTCCATGTTGTCATTTTTCCCATGTTTATAAAAAAAAATTCTTGATGTATAAGAGGCCCAGGTGGAATTCCATCATCTTGATAAGATCAGCTGACCTTTGTAAGCTTCCTTCCAGGTATTTTCCTTTCCCATTCCTGTACTTCATGTTGTTGATGTCCTTGACCCATAAGCACATATTCTAAATGATACTCGACCTTAGCACAGTATGCATTGAAGGTGTCAGTACTGTCCACCATTGCATTATGACCAAGCCCTGCGTGACAGTCCCTGATTCATTACTGTTCCAGACATATATCCCAAACCATTTAACTGCCAGAACAGGAGGTATGGACTGAATCCCCTCCCCTCCCCTTCCCTTGGATGCAACAAGTTTAATTTAGGAATAAAAAGGAGGCACTGCTGGGATTGTATTTTAGACCCCCAAATAGTCAGCAGTCAATAAACGAGCAGATATGTAGACAATTTGCTGAGGTGTGCAAAAATACGAATAGGGAATTATATTAGGGGATTTCAGCTTCTCCACCATTAATTGGGGTAGACATAGTGTAAAGGGTTGAAAGGGGCAGATTTCTTGAGATGTATTCAAGAGAGCTTTTTGTATCAACATGTAAAAGTTCCACCAGGAGATGGTGTAGTGCTGAATGTAATTCTGGGAAATTAAGCTAGACACCATGTTCAAGGTGGCAGTGGGTATTGCATTTTAGTGATTGTGACCACAACACTCTTATGTTTTACGTTTGTTATGGAAAAGGAAAAGGAAAAGGAAAAGGTTGGTCTGCAGAAAGAGTTTTGGATTGGGGGAAGGCAGGTTTTTTTTTAAATAAGGCAGGATCTGACTAAAATAGATTGGGAACAGCCACTTGGGGGAAATCCATAGCAGAACAGTGGGACGCATTCAAAAAGAACTGGGGAGATTTCAGACCCAATATGTTCCCTTTAGAATGAAATGTAGGAGCAACAAACCCAGAGAACCCTGGATGTCCTGGAATATTGAGGACTGGAAAGGAAAGAAGAGAGGCTTTTAACACTTTGTCCTCGTGGAGTGCAGAAAGTGCAATGGGTCTTAAAAAAATCAGGAGAGCAAAGACCGGGCATGAGAAAACGCTGGTGGGTAAGATTAGGGTGAAAGCCAAGATATTCTCTAAGTATATCAACAGGAAGAGGATAACCAGGCAAAGAGTGGGCCTTTTCGGGGCCAAGGGGGCAAACTGTATGTGGAACCAGAGGACATTGGTAGGGTGTTAAACATCTGCTTCAAATCTGTCTTCACGCAGGAGGGGGAGGATGTAGGTACAGAATTTGAGAAGACGGAAGTGAGGTTCTTGAGATGACTGACATTGAGGTAAGGAGGTTTTGGTGGGCATAAAAGTGGACATATCCCCAGGGCTGGAAGAGTTGCCTCCCAGGCTGCTGGAAATTACAGGGGCTCTAATTTAAATTTCTAATTCCTGTCTGGCCACAGGGGAGGTGCCAGAAGACTGAAAGTCAGCCAGTGTGATTCCATTTTTCAGGAAGGGTGGTAGAAATAAATCAGGGAATTACATGTCTCTTTGAGTGAGTGGTAGGTGAGCTATTGGGGGAATTTCTGACTGAGACAGTTAATCTCTGCTTGGAGAGGTAAGGTTTGATTAGAGATAGTCAGCGTGGCTTTGTCAGAGGAAGGCCACACCTAACAAATCTGATTAAGTTTTCTTGAGGAGGTAACTGGGTTTGTAGAAGAGGATAATGTAGTTTAAATGCATCTCAGCAAAGCCTTTGACAAAATCCGAATGGAGGACTGATGAAGAAGGTGAGCACACATTGAATCCAGAATAATTTGGCAAGTTGAATCCAAAATTATTTTCCAGGTAGGCCACAGAATAGTAGGTGATAGATGCTGTTTGTGTGACTGGAGCCTGGTGTGCAGTGGCATATCATATGGATCAGTGCTGGGTGCCTTATTCTTCATGAAATATATGAACAATATAGGAGAAAATGTTGGGGGAATGATAAGTAAGTTTGCAGATGACACAAAGATTAGCTGGATGTTTGACAGTGAAGAGGAAGGTCTTAGTTTACTGGAGGATATTGACAAATTGGTCAGATGGACAGATCAGTGGCAGTTGGAATTTAATCTCTGGAAGTATGAAATGATGTGCTTTGGAATAATGAATAAGACAAGGGAGTACACATTGATTCCAGGACATTAGGAAGCTCAGAGGAACATAGGGATCTTGAGCTGCCTGTCCACAGATCCCGACGGTGGCAGGCCTGGTTAATACAGTAATTAAAAAAAGCGTACAGGACACTTAGCTTTATCAATCGTTACGTTCTTTTGTTTAAAGCAGGTAAGGCAGAGATCAGATCTAAGTGAACTGTCTAAGATCGTGAGAAGAATGGACAGTGTGAATAGGAAGCAGCAGCTGTTTCCTTTGGTTGAAGGGTCAGTATTTGGGGGTGGGGGTGGTGGTGGGTGGTTGGGTGGTGGTGGTGGAGGGTTGGCACAAGTTTCAGGTGAAAATAACAGATTTAGAGGAAACTTAAGGAAAACTTGCTTTTACCCAGTCAGTGGTGGGAATCTGGAAGACACTACCTGGGAGGATAGTTGAAGTGCGAAACTTCACAACTTTTCAAAAAAGTAGAGACAACACAGTGTGGAGCTGGAGGAACACATGCTGCCTGGCCTGCTCAGAGGAGTAGGAAATTTGACGTTTCGAGGCAGGACCCTTCTTCAGAAAATTTGGTCAGTGTAGTCTTGATTGACTGAATGGCCTCTTCTGTACTGTATGAGTCTGTGAAAGGTAAATGAATTGTATTGTTGTTTCACAAACTATATTGAATGGTACCCATGTATATATCGAGGATGGAAGCAGAGATTTGAATTTTTTCTTTTAAAAACTTACCAAACAGCAAAATCTCCTCTTCATTACATTATTGTGTAATTTCCTTTGGTGACAATTCTATCAAAATAAAATAATAGATTTGAAGTTTTCACTTTTCAATTCCATGTTTGGCCTCTTTGGATAATCAGCATATGTATTTGATAAATGGCTATAGTTTGTATTTCATTAGTATTGTAACTAGTTAGATAAGAATTTCTCAGCTGAATGCTGTTGTAGTTTCTATCTACTTCTATAACAGTGTTCGGGTGCTGGCTACTAATTTGGGAGCAGGAATTTTCAGTCTTCACACTAAAGTCTTACAGAAACATAAAAACATAAAAAATAGGATCAGGAGTAGGCCATTCAGCCCTTCAAGCCTGCTTTGCACTCAATTTGGCTGATCGTCCATCTCAGTACCCTGTTCCCACTTTCTGTAAAGTATATAATTGATGGCAGGACCCTTATGAGCATTGATATAATTAAGGGTCCAAGTCCATAGTTCCCTGAAAGTGGCAACACAAATGAATAAGATGGTAAAGAAGTTGTACAACATGCCTGTCTTCATTGGTTAGGGCATTCAGTATAAAAGGTAGCAAGCCATATTGCATCTGTATAAGATTTTGATTAGGCCACATTTGGAGTATTGTGTGCACTTCTGGTCCCCATGCAATAGGAAGGATGTGGAGGCTTTGGAGAGGGTACAGAAAAAGGTTTACTAGGATGTTGCCTGGCTTGGAGCGTTTTTTGCCATAAGGAGAGATTGGACAAACTTGGATTGTTTTCACTATAGTGTCGGAGGCTGATAGAAGTATATAAAGTGATCAGAGGCATGGATATGGTGGATAGTTTGGAGTCTTTTCTTCCCAGGGTGGAAATGTCAATTACTAAGGGCTTGTAGATTTAAGGTGGGGTGGGGGAGGAGTCGGGGTGGTTTTTAAAGGAGATGCAAGAGGAAAAATTTTTTGCATGGAGGGTGGTAGGTGCCTGAAATATGCTGCCAGGGGCGCTGGTAGAAACAAGTACCTTAGCAAAGTTTAAGAGACACTTAGACTGACATGAACAGGCAGGGACTAGAGGTATATGGACCATATGCAAGCAGATGGGGGGGAATGCTGAAGGGCCTGTTCCTGTGCTGTATTGATCTATGTTCTTTGTTTTTCTTTAAAATAATCTATATCCTTTTGATTATTTTAGCCTTTAACACTTTATCTGACTCCTTCTTGAGAACATTCAATGTTTTGGCCTCAGTCATGTTCTATGGCAGAGAATTTCCCAGGCTCACCACTGTCTGGATGAAGAAATTTCACCTCATTTCAGTCCTAAATGCCCTATCCCATATCCTTAGGCAATGACCCTTGGTTCTGGACTCCCAGGTAATCAGGAACATCTCTCACTCAGAAATTGTATGCAGAATATTCTCTCAGCTTATTTGGCAAGTTATCAAGGAGAGTGCCTTTCACTGAAGTAGAATTATAGAACCTTTAAAATGCAAAAGGAGGCCATTCGGCTCATTCTGTACCACCCTCTGAAGGGCATTGCACCCGGGTCTGCCCCCACAAGTGGACGGCAGATAATAGGATACTTTTATACACAAAGGGTGGGAAGGATAAGCCAAGGACCTACAGGCCAGTGAATCTAATATCATTGGTAGGAAAACTTGGAAAAAATTATGCATGGCAGAATTAATCACCGCTTGGATATGCAAGAATTAATCAAGCAATTAACGCAAAAAAAATCACCTAGAATGTGTAGTAACGATTAGAATTATTATCAAGAACTTAGCCTAATGGGTAAATGTACTTCAATCTAAATCGTTGCAGATTTGATTTGTGTTGTGTGAAATATTTCATCCATGAAGGCAGTAGGACTGCTATAGTTAGTTATAAG